GCACTTGACCTCCCAAAATGAATCACCTCACACTTGTCCAGATTAAACTCCATCGGTCATTTCTCCACCCAACTTTCCAACTGACAAGCTGTCAGAGGAAGTAGTGGAGGCTGGTACAATTACAACATTTAAAAGGCATCTGGATGGTTACATGAATATGAATAGTTTAGAGGGATATGGGCCAAATGTTGGCAAATGGGACTGGGTCAGATTGAGATGTCTGGTTGGTGCAGACAAGTTGGACCAAAGAGTCATACAGCATGGAAACAGACCCTACGATCCATATCATGTTGTATTCTTTGACAACCTTCCTCGCTATCCATAACTCCACCAATTTTCATGTTTTGTCTGCATACTTACTAACTAGACTACCTACATTTTCATCCAAATCATTTACACATATTACAAACAACAGATATCCCAGCACTGATCCTTGTGGAACACCAATTACCAAGCCAATTTTGCATCCAACTTTATTCAACATGGATCACAAGTGACTTAACCTTCTGGAGCCGCGAGGGGCCCTGTCAAATACTTTAGTAAACTCCATATAGACAACATCGACTGCCCTACCATCATCTTTGTCACTTCCTCAAAAAACTCGATCAAACTTGACAGAAATTTGTGAGAGACCTCCCCCACACAAACCACATTGGACTAATTAATGATAGTCATTCTTTTCCAAATGCAAGTGAATCTTGCTCCTAAGAATCTTCTCAAATATCCCTACCACTGATGTAAGGCTAACTCGCCTACAATTTCCTGGATGATCCTTGCTGCCCTGTTTAAACAAAGGAACAAAATTGGCTGTTCGCCAGTATTCTAGAACCACACCCATGACTGAAGAGGAGACAAAGTCCTCTGTCAAAGTCCCAGTAGTCTCCTCCCTTGCCTCCTTCAGTATTCTGGGAGAGATCCCATCTTGTGCACTTAGCTACCTTAAAAGTTTTTAAAGACACGAACACTTCCTCCTTCCTAATATCTACCTGCCCTAGAATATCGACACACCCTTCCACAATCTTACTATTATCCATTTCCTTCTCATTGGTAAATACCAATGCAAAGTACTTAATAAGGACCTCACCCACTTCCTCTGGCTCCATGCATAAATTCCCTCCTTTGTCCTGGAATGAACCTACCTTTTCCCGAGCTACCTTCTTGCTCCTAATATACATACAAAATGCTTTGGGATTCTCCTTAATCCTACTTGCTAAGGACACTTCATGGCCCCTTTTAGCACTCGCAATTCCTTGTTTAAGTTCTTTCCTGCTTCCTTCAAATTCTTCAAGGGCCTTGTCTGATTTCAGTCTCCTAAACCTTATACATGCTTCCTTTTCCTTTCTGATTAAAAGCTAAATAGAGGATAGAATCCAATTAGCCTTCCTGATTACATACTGTACCTGCAAAGTATCTTTTTGTGAATTGTGTGCCTCAATGCCCAAATCCTTCAGCATCTGGCATTTCCAGTCATTTTTAGTAATACTCTGCTTCTTTATTTTTCCTGCCAAGTGATCAACTTCACATTTTCCCACAATTTACATAATCTGCCACATTTTCCCCATTCTGCATCCTTCTGCAAACTCAGAGTCTTCTTCACAACATACTTTCCTAGACAGCGTTGTGCCATCTTACAAAGTTAGCTACCATGCCTTCGTTCCTCTCATCTAAGTCATTGACATAAATTATAAAAAGTTGAGGCCAGAGCACAGACCCCTATGGGACTCTAACCATCACATAAAGACCAATTTATGCATACTCTATTTTCTGCCACGTTGGCAATCTTTTATCCATGCTAATATGTTACTCCCTACGCCACGCGCTTTTATTTTCCTCAACAACCTATGATATGGTACCTTATCAAATGCCTTCTGGAAATCCAAGTAAAGTATGTCTATTGCCTCCCCTTATTGAAAGAAAATATTACTCCTTCAAAGAAGTCTAAATAATGAATTTGTTAAGGATAATTTTCTCTTCACGACACCACTCCGAATCTTCCCAGTTACCGAGAGTTTTTAAGGACCAATTCTAATAACTTCCCTACAACAGGTGTCAAGCTAACTAGCTCATAACCTCATGTTTTCTGCCTCATTCCCTTCTTGAAGAGAGTCATTATGTTTTCTTTTTTCCAGTCTGATTGAACATTTTCAACACTAACACATTGACACTTCTTTTAAGCCTTGCCAACCTGCTTGTGATTGTAATTTCACCAAGTCTTTCCGTCCCTCGCTCTCACCTGATTTACAGCTATTCCTGGAATGGTTTTTGTATCCTACATAACGAAGACAGAGCCAAATGTGTTTAGTTCATCCACCATTTCCTTATTATCCTCTCTTAACTCCTTATTCCCACTCTCTGAAGGACTAACACTGACTTTAGTTACTTTATTCCTTCTAAAGTACCTGTAAGAAGATTTGCTACCCATTTTTACATTTGTAGCTTTGTACATGTTAGCTGAACTTTATTACTAGCTTCACACATTAAAAGGTATAACCACAGATAAGTGCTAAGATATAACTGCAATCAAGATATTTTATTGATTATTTGACTGAAATAGACAAGTCAAATAAGTTCAACATAAAAGCAAGATCCTTCATAAAATTGTCTTCTAAATATATTTCCCGCAGATGTCCCACAAACTAGCGTCTCCTCATGCCGTGATCTGAGCTGTGGTGAAGTGGGGGCATTATTTTTTCTGCCATGTTAGCAGGTACACCTTAATTTCTGTTACCATTTCCGAGTATTGGCTGTTCACTGATATTCATTACAGCCCAATGACTCCCACAGATACCTTGATTATAATTTCTTGTGGTAAATATTTCTAAGGCAGAGGCAGATAGGTTGTTATTAAACAAAGGGGTAAAAGGTTATTGGGGTAGACAGAAATGCAGATTTGAAGTTATAATCAGATCAACTGTGATCTTACTGAATGGTGGAGGACAAACGAGGGGCTGAATGGCCTACTCTTGCTGTATGTTAAATGATCCTCACACTCCGCTTCATTAGGGACTCTATTCCATTTTCTCAGTTTCTCCATCACATCTATTGCAATGATGGAGCATCCACAATGGTTGCCTACCAAATTTCTTCCTTCTCCTTCATGGAATCATAGAATCCCTACAGTACAGAAAGAGGCTATTTGACCCATCAAGACTGACACCTCCAACTGATCCAGCATGCCCCACCCAATCCCCAAAACCCCACATTTACCATGGCTAATCCACCTAATCTGCACTTCTGTGGACCCTATGGGGCAAATCAGCATGGTCAATCCACCTAAACTGCATATCTTTGGCCTGTGGCAGGAAACCACAGCATCGAGCAGAAACGCACATAAGCACTGGGAGAATGTGTAAACTCCAAGGATTCCACACAGCATGGTGCACGGACCCTGGAACAGTTTCCGGCCCATTTTTGACACGTTATCACATTCTACCCCACTAACCTCCCTATTGTTATGCACGGTTATCCTGCCCTATTTTTCTTACCTTCAGCTTGATATCACCACCATCCCTTCCCCACCCTGTCACCTTCCCATATAATTGCGGTGACATTTTCCCTTTGATCTCCTCCTACTCACTGTTCTAGTCCTCAAACAATTCTTCTTGGTGAAGCAAACAAATTACTTGTACTTCTTCCAATCTAATGTATTGTATTTGCTGCTCATAATGTGGTGTCCTTTACATTAGAGGCCAAATGCAGACTGGGTGACTCCTACTATTCAGCATGCAAACATGACCCTGATCTTCTGGCTGCTTACCGTTTCAATACACCACCTTGTTCTTATGCTCACATTTCTATCCATGGTTTGGTGTAATATTCAAGTGATGACCAGCACAGGATGGAGAAACAGTGCTTCCTTTTTCGCTTAGATGCTTTACAACCTTGTGAATTCAATATTAAGTTCAACAACTTCAGACCATGAACTCTGACCTCCGTTTTGGTCCCACCTTACCCAATTCACTAATTCTGCTATTAACACCTACTCTGGATCAAACTCCCTTTTCTGCAACACTCCCTTTGCCTCTTGCCTGGCCTTCTGTTCTACTTGCTCCTCCCATCTTTTCCAAGAGAATAAAACCTAACACTTTTCCACCTTTTTCTTCAGATCTGGACAGCAGTAAGATTGAATTCAAAACATAAATGCTTTATCTCTCCACAAATGTTGACAGACTGCTGAATTTCTCCAATACTTTCCATTTTGATTTCAGATTTCTAGCATCTGCAGTATTCTGCTTTTGGATTTGTAGAAAGTAGCTCATATTTCATTCATCTCTTTTAAAGAGTAACAGAAGAGGTTGAAGAAAAAAAAGAAAATGGCGGTGTCCATATGAATCTAAAAAAAATCTGAAGTAGTACCTCGAATTCCCTACCACTGTGGGTCTATCTACACACACGGACTGCTTTCTCCACACTGCAAACTTCCCCAGCCCGACTCCCAGTTGTATTCTCCACTGTCCATGCTTGTCTTCAGTACATTCACTCCTACAATCCCCACCAGCATTGGGACAGACATCTTAGTTGATACATTGTTGCAGTAATCAAATTTCTTCCAAAAAATCTTCAGTTTTTCTCTATCACTTAACGAGTGACATTTCCAAGTGAGAGGAGAAGAATCAGCTTCAACCCTTTCACTGTTTGTGTGTAGAATTGGGATTCACCTACTGAGGTATAGACTTGAACCAAAAGATTAAAACCACAATATAGACAACAGATTCCATCAAATCACTTCCATATTTCCCAACTCCAAAGCTTAATGGGACTGTAAGCAACAAGCCATTCACTTCTGTACTCCATACCAGAAGCAATAAGTGCAATTAGCAGAATATTTGACCAAATTAGCTGGATAAGAGATTAGTTATAGACAACTACTGCTTTTAAGGACTAACATTACACATTCGGTGCAAACAAGATTGCAGACAAAGCAGTGTACACATCACAGACAGCCTCTGCTGAAATACATCACTGAAAAAAAGAGATTTTTTTAATCCATTGGCACTTACCATAGGTATGAAAGGTTCTTCTCTGTTGCTCAAACATGAAATCATTGATGTGGGCAGGTTCAGTATATCCAGACAGCATATTTCTAGGAGCAGCCATCTGCTGCGTCCTGAAAGGGTTCACTGGACCAAACTGAAATAAATAATATGTCCATTTGGTTAATTTTTTTTTACTCAAATACATTTCATTTTATTCTGTGTTATGGAATTTCAGTCACAAAGCACATCAAACCACAAAATTTTAAAATACAGTCGTCGATTTCATAATGACACTATTTATGTTGAAACATAAAACGAGCACAGACTACAAATTAAGTTGTGACAACCAAATGAGTAAAAATTATCATGAGGAAAATAGTCAGAGACTCTTTTAAAAGAAACTAAATTAGAAAAATGTCCTATTAGGTGTTTTCCGTTATTGCAGTATTCAAATGAACTAATCAGCGATCCATTAACTGCAAAAATATTTTGGAAACAATTTTATCTAATGATCTGCAGTCTAATTACAAAATACTAACTAAATAACACTGATCTAAGGTGAAAGAATATTGGCAATAGTTCAATGGACTGAATTTCATACCCAGCTCACCAGCATATTTGAAGATGGGCTGGGTTTCTAAAGTGGGTGGCCAGCCTGCTAATTTCTCACCCAACGCTTTCTTAATTTATATTAAAGTTCCTCATTTATCTCAAAAGCTAACCAAAATTAGAAACAAAAACAGAAATTGCTGGAAAAATTCATAAGGTCTGGCAGCATCTGTGGAGAGAAATCAGAGCTAATATTTCAGGTCCAGTAACCCTTCTTCAAAACACTGGATCCAAAATATTAACTCTGATTTCTCTCCACAGATTTCTCTTCACCCGCTGAGTTTTTCCAGCAATTTCTGTTTTTGTTTCTAATTTCCAGCATCCGCAGTTATTTCCGTTTTCTTGGATTATGAATGAAAATTAACCTTGCAGTGACTGGTCAACAGGCCAGCAGCAGCTTTTTAAGACTCTCATTCTGAGGTTGCAATGCAATGCTGGAGGCAGCAGAATAAAATAACCAACAGTACTCGAACATTAATTGTATATGTGGGATTAGATTCAGCATTAACCTTTGTCTCTTATTTTGCTTGTTCAAAATGCCCACCCCACCTTTCCAGCAGAATACTGCAAAATTGTAACCAGAAAATACAGTGCAGCAATACATCTACAAAGTCTTTCATTTGTGAAGCACTTCCTCTATACATAAATTATTTAAACAGCTGAACAAAAGCATTCAGTAACTGGTAAGCAGTGTTAGTAGGATTATCTACAGCTACTGAAAGGTAGAAAGAATTAAAATGAAATGAATTATTTATGATTTGTTGAGTACAGTAAAACTGTAGTAATGGATTTAAGATAAACATACGTTACAAGCACGAACTAAAACATAAATCATATTCATTGAATTCCCTGGCACACAACATCATGGGGTCTGGAGTATAGATGTGAAAATTGTATGGTTCATAACCAGGGAGGGAAAACAGTGGATGGAGAACAGTGTAAATTGTAGGTGGGAACTATGAATGGACAAATCAGAAATTTTAGGATTTTAAGTATCTTAAGATCTTGACAAAAGCATATGTGTATTTACTTAATTGCACCAAGATGCGGCAAGTTGTGACAGCAGAGGTAGCATGCACTTTGACAGAAACTGACCCTGATGTCAGTCATAGCTCAGGGGTAGTACTCTCAACAGAAATGTTTGTGGGCTCAAATTCCAATCCAAAAACTTAAGCAAGCAACATAGGCTGATATTTCCTGTGCAAAATTGCAGGGATACTATTTGAGATATCATCTTTCAAAGAGTCATACAGTCATACAACACGGAAACAGACCTTTCAGTCCAGCTGGTCCACGTCGACTAGGTTTCCTAAACTGAGCTAGTCTTATTTGCCTGCCTTTGGCCCATATTGCTCTAAACCTTTCCTATTCATATATCTGTCCAAATGTCTTTAAAATGCTGTAAATGTACCATTTCCTCTGGCAGCTCATTCTGTCTGTGTGAAAAAGATGCCTCTCAGGTCCCTTTTATTTCTTTCCCCTCTCACCTTAAACGTATGCCCTCTAGTTTTGGACTCCTCTACACTTGGAAATCGTCTTTTTCCAACTGGCTATTCACATTGTCTATGATCCCCATGACTTTTAAAACCTCTCTGGAGGTCAGCCCTCAGCCTTCAATGCTCCAGGAAAAAATGTCCCAGCCTATCCAGCCTTTCTTGAACTCAAACCCTCCAATCCCGCTCAATAGGTAAACAACAATGAACTGATGACACATGACTTAATTAGTTAACAGACCTCATCACCTCAGGTGACCTCCCACCCACGGCCTCCAACCTCATCGTTCCCCAACCCCGCACTGCCTGCTTCTATCTCCTTCCCAAAATCCACAAACCTGAATGCCCTGGTCGACCCATTGTCTCCGCCTGCTCCTGCCCCACCGAACTGATCTCCAACTATCTAGACTCCATCTTCTCCCCCTTGGTCCAGGATCTCCCAACCTATGTCCGTAACACCACCCATGCCCTCCACCTCCTCCAGAACTTCCAATTCCCCGGTCCCCAACACCTCATCTTTATCATGGACGTCCAGTCCCTCTACACCTGCATTCCCCATGCAGATGGCCTTAAGGCCCTCCGCTTCTTCCTGTCCCGCAGGCCCGACCAGTCCCCCTCCAATGACACCCTCATCCGCTTAGCCGAACTCGTCCTCACCCTCAACAACTTCTCTTTCAATTCCTCCCACTTCCTACAGACAAAGGGGGTAGCCATGGGTACCCGCATGGGCCCAAGCTACGCCTGCCTCTTTGTAGGTTACGTGGAACAATCCTTCTTCCGTACCTACACCGGCCCTAAACCCCACCTCTTCCTCCGTTACATTGATGAGTGTATCGGCGCCGCCTCGTGCTCCCACGAGGAGCTCGAACAGTTCATCCACTTCACTAACACCTTCCACTCCAACCTTAAGTTTACCTGGACCACCTCTAACACCTCTCTCCCCTTCCTGGACCTCTCTGTCTCCATATCGGGCAACCACCTAGAAACCGATATTCATTTCAAGCCCACCGACTCCCACAGCTACCTAGAATACTCCTCCTCCCACCCACCTTCCTGCAAAAATGCTATCCCCTATTCCCAATTCCTTCGCCTCCGCCGCATCTGCTCCCAGGATGAGGCATTCCACTCCCGTACATCTTAGTTGTCCTCGTTTTTCAAGGACCGTAACTTCCCCACCTCGGTGGTCGAGAATGCCCTCAACCGTGTCTCCCACATCTCCTGCAACTCATCCCTCACACCCCGTCCACGCAATAAGAACCAAAAAAGAATCTCCCTTGTCCTCACGTACCACCCCACCAACCTCCGGATCCAACGCATCATCCTCCGACACTTCCGCCATCTGCAATCCGACCCCACCACCAAAGACATCTTTCCCTCCCCACCCTTATCTGCTTTCCGGAGGGACCACTCTCTCCGTGACTCTCTTGTCCGCTCCACACTCCCCTCCAGCTCCACCACACCCGGCACTTTTCCCTGCAACCGCAGGAAGTGCTACACCTGCCCCCATACCTCCTCCCTCACCCCCATCCCAGGCCCCAAGAAGATTTTCCACATCAAGCAGATGTTCACCTGCACATCTGCCAATGTGGTATACTGCATCCGCTGTGGCTTCCTCTACATCGGGGAAACCAAGTGGAGGCTCGGGGACCGCTTTGCAGAACACCTACGCTCGGTTCGCAATAAACAACTGCACCTCCCAGTCGCGAACCATTTCAACTCCCCCTCCCATTCCTCAGACGACATGTCCATCCTGGGCCTCCTGCAGTGCCACAACGATGCCACCCGAAGGTTGCAGGAACAGCAACTCATATTCCGCTTGGGAACCCTGCAGCCCAATGGTATCAATGTGGATTTCACAAGTTTCAAAATCTCCCCTCCCCCTACCACATCCCAAAACCAGTCCAGCTCGTCCCTGCCTCCCTAACCTGTTCTTCCTCCCACCTATCCCCTCCTCCCACCTCAAGCCGCACCTCCATCTCCTACCGACCAACCTCATCCCGCCCCCTTGACCTGTCCGTCCTCCCTGGACTGACCTATCCCCTTCCTAACTCCCTACCTACACTCACCTTTCCTGGCCCCATCCCCGCCTCTTCGACCTGTTTGTTTCCTCTCCACCTATCCTCTCCTCTATCCCTCTTCTATCCGCCTCCCACTCTCTCCCTATTTATTTCAAAACCCCCTTCCCCTCCCCCTTTTCTGATGAAGGGTCTAGGCCCGAAACGTCAGCCTCTCTGCTCCTATGATGCTGCTTGGCCTGCTGTGTTCATCCAGCCCTGCACCTTGTTGTCTCGGATTCTCCAGCATCTGCAGTTCCTACTATCTCTGACTCAGGTTAACAGACTAACTGTCTTATAAAAGTTCCTTTCACACAGAAAATAAAAGTGCTATGGGTGGAGGGAAGAAACTGGGAAGGCAATGCAATGGTCCCTGTCCACAGGGTTCACTAGTCAGGACTTGCTGCATTTCAATTTCTCTTCTCCAGGTTCCTTTTGACTAGGTCACATTACAAAAGTCTCTTTGCTTCTGGTTAAAAGCTAAAGCTTGCAGCAACAAATAAATTGGTTCTCTGCAGGCTTTTTTTTTGTTGTGCAAAGAGACACACACACCTTCCCTTTCCAGTGGTCTGAAAGCTTTTGATGATGATGATGATTTATTGTCACTTGTACTCTACAATGAGCAACATAGTAAAATACAGTGGAAACGCTACAACTATCGCCACAATCTGGTGCCATTCGAATACTTCAAGAATAGAAAGAATTAAAAATGCTGAAAGAAAGTCAATCTTCATTCCGCCACCTCCAGAACGAATCTCAAGTCCTGACATGGCCGACCAACGATACCCGCACAGCCACCTGCCCACTGGATCCACCAATATCAGGGTCACCACTCTTCAGGCGCCATCTCTTTGTTGCTGGGCCCACCCTCTGACGGGCCAACAATTCCCTGCTGGAACTGCACCTTCCCGCAACCAGGAGCATCCACCAGGAGCTGCTCCCCAGCTCTGCTCTCACCTCACTGACAACCAAGAGGCCCCAACCCAGCTCCAGGTTCC